GGAAGTGTAGTGCTCCCGTGGCTAACCCGTGGCTTCCTGCCAAAGATGCAGAGTGAAAAACTAGTACTTACGAGGTACTGGTTTCTGGACACCGCGGGGCAAGGGCAGGCGTTTGATCGCGTTTCCGGTGGAATCCCGTGGCATCCAGCGCCCGCTGATGTTCCATCACGAACAAGGGTGTTTTTTCCCCCCCAAGTCTCCGCAGGATGTGCAAAAGCACCCAACGGCGCATGTGCACAAACTTCAATACAAAAAACACCCGTTTGCCATGAAGCGGCACCTAGCGATTGCTGCTGTGATTGCACCGCGCCGCTTCTTCGTCGCGCTGCAGGATAGCCATGTGATCAGCACTTCACCCCCTAACCACGGAACCTCGACCAGACGTGTGATCGGGCGGCCGCGCGTTATTTTGCTCCAGGGCGAACAGCCACGCTTCCCCCCCGCATTTTCCAGCCCGTGTGACCGGGACCACTGTATACTTTTGATGAAGTGCATTCTGACTCAGGAAAGTTTACACTGGCGAAAACGTCAGTCTTTAAGGTGCTGCATTTTGTGTAAATTGTCACGGTTGTCATTTGTCAAGGTTCAACTCCTTTCCTAAGGTTTCTACAAGTGATGAATGGAAGGCATCTTCCGGGAGAGGCTAGAGTGTGAGCTGGAGGTTACAATCAGGCATTCCCTGGTTTTCCCTGCTTAGTCATCCCCTATCTTTCAATGTAATTTTGTTTCTAGAGACTATTCAGCTGGTGTTCTACAGGAACACCATGAGATAGAAAATGTTTACTCAAAATTAAAGAATACAAAAGAACTGTTTGCAGTCTGACTTTCAACAGATATATATATATATAGTATTGCATACACCATGTTGATGGCCCCCCGTATTTATTGAAGTACTTCACCACATGACACTTGTATCAAGGAATACATATAATCTGACAAGGGCATATGTTGAGAAAATGCTGGGAAGCCTGGGGAGCACGAAATCAATATTAATATGAAGAAAATTGGTGGGAAAATTAAGTTAATTCTCCCACCATGCCCAACAATAAGCACAAACTCAGAGACTTTGTATTTGGGGATATAGAAAGAATTGACATTTCTGATGATCTCACTGAAGGAAAGGAACACCATGAGTTTTAGGATTACATTTAACCTAAAGGGATAAAGGAAGATATTAAGTTATCACAACTGTGATTTAGATACCATGTGTGCCTCCCATATTCTTGTCTTGTGACTTTGCTGTTTTATAAAGATTGGGTTAGATGTGTTTGGTCTTTATGTCAGTCTTTTTTTAAAAAATTGATAATTATATTACGTTTTTTCTTTGTAGTTGTGTTCAGCTGTGGTTACTGGTTTGGTTGTGTTTAATTTATTATCTAAGTTATTTAATAATTTAAATAACAGGATATAACGTTAGGGTTTTCTCTCTGTGTGCATGGCTGCCAGTGTGATTCTTATGGGTATGTTATTCTAAAACTACTTAGTTTAGATTACATTGCAAATTAGCTTTCTTGTTCTAGAAGTGTCTTATTATCTTTTTTAAAAAAGATTTAGTGGCTGTTTCTTTTTATAGATTCCACAGAGGAAGACTTTTGGACATATAGGGGTATTGCTTCTGAAATAATACTTATTGAACATGAAGGGGCCTTACACTGCCAGACTAGTCAGAAAATAAGAAGAGCCCTGATGGATCAGAGCAGTGGTCCATCTACTCCAGCATCCTGTCTCACACAGTGGGCAGCCAGTTCCTCTGGACAGCCAACAGCAGGGCATAGAGGCCGAGGCCTTCCCCTGATGTTGCCTCCTGGCTCTGGGATACAGAGGCTTAGTGCCTCTGAAGGTGGAGGTTCCCCTCAGTCACCATGGCTAGTAGCCACTTATAGACCTATCCTCCATGAATCTATCTAAACTCCTTTTAAAGTTGTTTATTCCTGTGGCCATCACTACACCCGCTGCCCACATTGGTCTGGCAAGGTCAGTAATATGTTCTGTGATTGGTGGCAGCTCTCCAGAGTCTTATGGTTGAAATCTTTTGCATCCCTACCTACCTGATCATTTTAACTGGAGATTCCAGGGATTGAATCTGGGACCTTCTGCAGTGCATACAAGGCAAACGCCACATCCCCAACTCAACAACTCTTACACAGGAAGAGGGGGTACATTACATGTTGAAGGACACAGTACAGAAACCACAAAATGAATACTGTATATAAGTCATTCACCTCAATTAATATACAATAAAGTCCAATTTTTACATTAAAAGTGTATTATTGTATTTCTTATTATGACATCACAACCTTGCAACAATTTCCAAATTTGTTACATATATTCCATAAATTCACATAAATACACAAGTGGCAAGCAAAACACTCTGCATTCAATGCTTCCACTGCTTAACAATATTGCTACATACAAAGAAGTGTATCAAGTATCCAGGACTAACACTGTCCTTGCCACAAAATTTCATTCCTTACAGTCACAGAATAGTTGACCTTCACTCGTAGATTAATAATGTGCCAAAAAAACTACGGACAAGATTCCTAGGTTTATTTCTCATTCTGGTCTTCTTCAGAGTGTGTCAAGATCAGTAGCACATCTCCATATCACTGGAACCATAAATGTTAATCCAGCCAATTCTATGCTTTATCAAGAAATAACAATGTCTTTCCTGTAGGAAACTATTCCTGAACTCCAGATGCCACCTGGAGGCTGGCGACCCTTTCAGCCATCAAGCTGTAAAGCTTTGAAAGGGAAGTGGACAAATTCATGGAGGACTGGTGGGCTATCAGTGGTTACTAATCAGGATAGATCTCTACTTCCTCCAATAGCAGAGGTAGTATGCCTCTTTAAATCAGCTGCTGAGGTGCACGGGCAGGATAGTCTTCCTGAAGGCGGCTGGCTGGGCACTGTGTGAACAGAATGGTGGACTTGATGGGCCTTTGGTCTGATCAGCAGGGCTCTTTATGTTCTTAGAGGCTACAGGCTCCCCTCTGGAGGGCTAGAGTCTGCCCTCTGAGCATACCCTTTCCACCAGAGGAGGAACCTCATCAGCTGTAATTCTGGGAGAACTCCAGGTTGCACCCTGAGTCTGGTAAACCTCGTCCACCATGGCACCAAAGAAAACATGGGAGGGATTTAAAAAACAACGGCAGCCATACATGGTAGGAGGAGGAGAAAAAGGATGGCCTCGTTGTGTTATTGCAGACTCTTGCAGGTGCATCGCAGGTAAAAACCTCAATAGGTGTGGTTTCCTCTGACATGGGCATGCAGCGATGGCAAGAGGTTTAGAGGACCGCATTTCTGCCTTAGTTGTTCAAAATGTGAATATCGCCGAGAGGAAATGGGGAGGTCGTTATTTTAAAGTCTCTCAATTCTATAGTATGAGGCTGAGAACAACATGGCGGCTTCAGAACGGAGCGACGGGCAGAAGGCTCGCCCCAAGCCGGCCAATCAAAAATAAGCTTTAACTGTTTCTGGGCAGCTTAGCACCGTGAAGTATTCTTTGCGATTGGTGCGTTTTAGCCAATTAAAAAAAACACCACCACCACACCGCCTTGTTACTGCCCGCCTAAAATCCGCTAGGGTGCACACAGACCACAGCGCGAAACCAGTGAACGCATGCGCACTCCCAAATAGAGGCAGTTTGAAGGAGGAGAAAGCCATGCAGGCGTATTCCTCTGAGCCTTGCGACCCAGAGGAAGAACTGGTGGTGTGAAAAACGCACACACAAAAAGCAGCCACCGCCGCACTCTGAAGTTCAACCTCGTAAAACACGCATGCGCAATTTCCCGCTCGTTCTTTAAAAACGCATGCACCGCGGTCTTGCGCGTCGGTTACCCTGCGCCTGCGCAACAGCGGCGTCTAATCTAAACCGTCGTTCCCTTTCCGCCTGCGCGCCAGTCGGCGGCGGCGCAGTAACGATGAGGCCCGCGCTCCGGCGCAGGCGCACTAAGTTTAGCGAGTGCGCGCGAGGCTCGGACTGCAGGGGAGGAGGCCTCCGCCGCTGAGGCGGGCGAGCGCGAGGGTTGGGGGGGAAGAAAAAAGAGAGAGGAGCGGAACTGCGCAGGCGCGCTAGTGTCGGCGAGGGAGCGAGCCAGATAAGCGCCTTTCTTGCGGATTAATTTTTTCCCCCTCTCTCTCTTTCTCTCATTCTCCTCCTCCTCCTCCCCCCCTCCCTCCTCCTCCCTCCCCCCTCTCAGCGGAGCGCGCGCGCCATGGACGTGAAGCGGCTGAAGGTGACGGAACTGCGGGCCGAGCTCGGGCGGAGAGGCCTGGATTCCCGCGGCTTGAAAGTGGAGCTGGCCCAGCGCCTCCAGGAGGCCTTGGACGCCGAGATGTTGGCGGCCGGGCCTGACGAAGGCGGGGCCGAATCGGCCGGGGTGGCCGCGCAGACCCTCGCCAGGGCCCGCTTGGCGGGCGGCGGCGGGGAGAACGACGACGACGAGGAAGACGAAGAGGACGAGGAAGACGAGGACGAAGAGGAGGACGAGGAGGCCCTGCTGGCCGACGAGGAGGAGCAGATGCAGGCGGAGCCGGCGGCGGGCGGCGAGGGACAGGCCTTGTCTCAGCAGCCGGCCGGGGAACAAGGCGGCGAGGGCCAGGCCCAGGCGGGCGGCAGCGGAGTCAACGGCGCCCAGGAAGCCCAGGAGGAGGAGGGCGGCGGCGGCGGCGGAGGAGGCCCCAGCGGGAACGAAGCGTCGGGGGACGCCGAGGCCAAACAAGGAGACGAGCAGGCGGGTAAGGCGGGAAGCGGGGCGGGCGCCGAGGGGCGGCGGCGATCCTCCCTCTTGGGGGGTCCCATTAGGCGCAGAGACATCTGCGCACGCGGGCTGGGCCGGGGCGTCGTTTCTACCGGGGGGGGGAGAGAGGAAGAGAAGGGAAGCGGTCGGCGCTTCAGCGTGGGGAGTCTTCGGGGGTATGGCCCCCCCTCGTTTCCCCCCTTGTGGTGATTCTAATTATTCCCCCCCCCCCCGGGAGGGTGGCAGTTTTGCAGCCTGACGAGCCCCTCCCCCCCATCCATCTTTATTACTCGGAAAGAAAAAGAAAAAGCCCAGCGGGGCGCAAAAATAAATCCCAGTTAGCGCCCTCCCGCCCAAATGCGAGGGCGTAGCTTTGTAGCTTTACGACACAAGCCTCAAAATCAGCGGGCGTAGCCAGGAGTAAATCTGTATAGGATTGCACTACGACTGTAGTGCAGCAAAAGCAAAAAAATACGTGTAAAGGATGGATCAGTATTATATAAGCTTTTGCAGGGGATAGGGTAAACAAAAAGGGTTTTGCTGTACTCGTGAGTTACATCGGTTTTTGTCACTTTTTTTTTTGTCACTTTCAAAGGGGTAATTATGTTTCTGCCCAGAAGTTATGCATGTATTCGTTGCACGCATAGGTCTCTAGGGCTTACTACCAAGTAAACATACATATTATGCTCTTACAGCCAAGGTCTATTCATTCAGAAGTAAGTTCCCCTAAATAAGGGTAAGTATACACCGTATTACAGCCTCAGTGTCTTAGAGAGAAAAATATGGTGTTTTAAACGCTGTCTTTAAGGTATCCTAGGACTTAAAAAACCTTACGATTTATAGTAATTGAACTGAATACATATTTATTTTTCGTGCTCAGTTTTATTTCTGTCTTCTTTACTTCCCTCCCCTGTGTTGCCTTCTGTGTCAAATGTTAGATGGTGTAGGCCTCTGGACAAGGGTGTATCTTGCTCTACTGTAAAGCACATGTGCTCTGGTGTTATATGAATGGTTAAGAGACTAAGCTGTGAGCTAGAAAGCTCCCAGTTCAAATCAAGGTTCACTCACAGGTGTCTTTGGGCAATGCTGCTACTTTCTCAGGGCTGGCTTGCAGTGTGGGAATCTTAATGTTGAAATACTTTGTACACATTTGGTTTTATAGAGATGATGAGAGAATCGGTGTTAGGTGCTGGCTAGAATTGTTGGACTTGGCGCCAGGGAAGGCTGAATTGCACATGCCTACAGCCTTGAAGCTTCAGATACTGTGCTGTTGGTCTCCCTTAACTGTTCAGGGTTGTTGTGAGGATGACAGAGGATTGGGGGGGGGGAGAAGAGGATACATGCCATTTTGAGCTGCTAGGAGGAAGGGCAGTGTAAGCACATGGCAAGTAAATAATGTACTGGGTAGAAAGGTTGCCTGGGGAGCTTTGTATTTTATTTAGTTGGAATAATGCTCCCCGTTAGCTTAGAACTAAAAACATCTTTGAAGGATAGTTCAGTGTTGTCCTTCCCATTTTGCAGATTGGGGCCTTCCCACTGGTAGACAAGTTGGGTTCTCCCAAACAAGAGATCTTGCAGCAGATGTGAGATTTCAACTGGGAACTTTGTGGCTCATCAGTCATATTCTTAACTGATTTGAATTGCTGCTGTAAATCAGTATAAAACATTTCTAATAAGAATTTGATTCAGTCGCTTTATGCATAGGTAGGGGTTGGAGCAGGATATTTCCATGGTAGTGCTTCTCAGATTCTAGCTGCCTGATCAGAGAGAGAGCAGATCATCCCACTTTGTTACATCAAACAGGTTTTTGTTTTAAACATGAGCTGTTCCCTAGGTTGTTTTCAGTCTAGCGTACTGCTGTTTTAGAAAGATGGATTCAAGATGTATCAATGTAAATGTTATTCACATCTCTCATTACATTACTTGCACGTCTGCAAAGACCTGTGGAATTTTTGTTTATACAGCTGTTTTATTCTTGTCTGTGGTACTTGTCGAAGATTCAGTACTACTGAGTAGAAATCCCATATGAAGTCTTGAGAACAAAGCTTTGGTTATCATAAATAGGAAGTGTTTGATTATTTAGAGATTTGGAAGTTTAATGGTTAAGAGCAGTTTCACATGTTGCTTCTGAGTCACGCTACAATTTTCAGATGCTTTTATGCTGCTTGTCTGGATGTGCTTGTGGCTGGAAAACAAGATGCTTTTAAGAACAGGGTTTTAAGTAGCAAGTATAGTATAATAAGTGGAAAAGGATAATTTCTCTTGCTCTGTAGATTATCAGGAATGACTCTATATATCAAGATGGGTAACTTGTCTGTCCCTAGCAGTAGAGAAAAGCAAGAGTCTAGTAGCACCTTAAGGAGGAAAAAAATTTTTGGCAGGGTATGAGGTTTTGTGAGTCACTGCTCACTTCTTCAGGTACAGCTATGATGTGAGCCCTATCTGTCCTTATATCCTGAAGAGGAGTGGTTTCAAATGCTGAATGGCAGTAGCAGGTGAATGACAGTAGGAGGCATGATTGGATTAGGTGTGATGTGTGGAGGAATGATTCTGATACTTATCTGAAGCTTCATTCTTTGTAATGAAAATATAATAGTTTCTGTTCATAAAAATATTTGTGGTGGGATTGATTGTTCTGTGTGATGGTTGACTTTAAAGAAGTAATAGGAAGTGATTGTAAGGCATACAATACTTAATTCCCTGGAGATTTTTATCTTCGGCTTTGTTATATTTCAAAGTCATTTGTGCATAATCTGGGGGAAAATCCACTTTGGTTGTACTTTTTTGTGGCAGAATGTCCCTGAAAGTGGAACTTTAAGTACAGCCACTTCAAGTTTTCTTTCCATAAATAATAAATTTCTGGGGTTGAGTGCTTTTTTATTCTAGCAAATGTAACATTTTTTAAAAGTCTCATGAGTTTTAAAAGTGATCCAAGGAAGCATTGAAGTGAGGTGTTACAGTTGTCAGTAGGTCATCCTATACAATGGACTTTTACTGGAAAATATTAATTTTAGTTTATTTTATACTCCACTTTTCTTCCCTGTGATGATCCAAAATGGATTACATCATTCTCCCTCTCTTTATTTTACCCTCATAACAACCTCGTGAAGCAGGTTAGGCTGTGTGTGTGACTGGCCCAAGGTCACCCAGCAAGATTCCTAGGCAGAGTGGGGATTCAAACCTGGGTCTCCCAGATCCTAGTCTGACACTGTAGCCACTATACCAGCACTCACCACATTGGTCTCACCATGGACAGTATGTTCACTAGGATAGAAAAACAGCCTCATGTAACTTTATTAGTGGTTAATAGTGACAGGTGCTTTATTTCAGTTTGTTGGTTTCTAATGCCTTGGGTTCATAGTTAGATACCAAGTAATATTTCTGTCTCTGCAAACATGCATTAGCTTGATGATACTTCACTTGAGGGCACTGAATATACCCCAAATACAATTTGTGCAGGATTTTGCGGTTGCTGCCACCGAAAATTCCTGCCACATGGCCATAGTGGGGGAAAGAAAGTTTTGTCGCTTCATCTTCCAGGCCTTGTATGACATGAGTTTGTTAAGGTTGGCTAGAAGGCCATGTGGGTCTTGCTTACAGTGACTGTTTCTGTTGCCTTGAACACTGAGGAGTCTACTGTAAGAATTCAAGATAAATACTTTATGGGTTCTTTTAAAAGTAGAAGTGAGAGTGCCCAGATTGCCCAGAGATGTGGGCTTGGGTGTCACCTATACGCAGATGACACCCAGCTCTATCTGATGTTGGGTGGCCAGTCGAACTCCAGCCCAGATGACCTTCATCGGGCGTTGCAAGCTGTGGCTGGCTGGCTCAGACTGAGTCGTCTGAAACTAAACCCGACGAAGACAGAGGTCCAGGGCCTTAGTCGGGTTGGTTCGGGGTTGGGACTCCCCCTCCTGACCTTCGATGGGGCGCCTTTGGTGCCAGTGTCGGAGGTTAGAAGTTTGGGTGTGCTCCTGGACTCTTCCTTAATGATGGAGGCCCAGGTGACAGCCACTGCCAAGTCGGCCTTCTGCCATCTTCGGCTGGCTCGGCAGTTGGTTCCCTTCTTTGACTGTGATGACCTGGCCACAGTGATCCATGCGACGGTCACCTCGAGGCTAGACTACTGTAACGCTCTCTACATGGGGCTGCCTTTGTCACAAATCCGGAAGCTGCAGCTGGTGCAGAATGCTGCAGCCAGGCTGTTGATGGGTCTCTCTAGACGGGACTATATCAGGCCTGTGCTGAAAGCGCTGCATTGGCTGCCAATAGCGTACCGGGTTCGCTTCAAAGTGCTGGTTCTTTAAAGCCCTATATGGCCAGGGTCTGGCATACCTGAGGGACCACCTTTCCCCATATGTTCCCCCAAGGGCACTACGGTCGGGGACTCAACACCTCCTGGTAACCCCAGGCCCTAAAGATACTAAGCTTGCTGCAACCAGGGCCAGGGCTTTTTCGGTGGCGGCCCCTACCTGGTGGAACAAGCTCCCGGAGGAGATCCGGGCCCTGCGGGACCTTGCGCAGTTCTGCAGGGCCTGCAAGATGGAGCTCTTCCACCAGGCTTTTGAGTAGGAGCCACCACAGCTACTGTACCATCGCCGCACCACCACCACCAACTGCCTTGGGTAACATCTGGGGGGGTGCGATGGCCCTGGGATGAAGAATGAGGGGTATGGCCACCTGGAATGATACGATTGACTTGAGATTACCAACACCAGAAGCCCATCTTGTTACTGAGGACTTTGAGACAACTTGAGCACCTTGTACTGTATAATTGATTTATTGTTTTATCAGGTTTTAGCTGTTTTAATTATTGGCATGTTTGCCTCATCCGTAAGCCGCCCTGATCCCACTTGCGGGGAAGGCGGCCTATAAATCTAAAATAAATTTAAAAATAATAGTTTTGAGGTGACTTTCAGTGAAATCTAGCTTTTAAAAATCCTTTGTTCTCTGCAGCCGATGAAGATGATGAGAAAGCAAAGCAGGCTGGTGCAGATGGAGAACGCCGCGGACTGAAAAGGCAGCGTGAAGAGAAGGAAGAGCATGGCCGTGCCTATTATGAGTTCCGAGAGGAGGCATACAATAGCCGGTGAGATGTACATCATTTTGGCAAGGAATTCAGGCCAGTTTGTCTTCAGAGCATGAAGCCCAGGTTTAGGGTGGGGGGTTGGGTATGTTGAGCCAGGAGTGGGCTGAGCAGTCTACAATACTCTATATGTTGAGTACCAGATCCCTGTGGCCCACTGATGGATCTTTACAAGCCCATAGTACATAGGTGACGTAACTATTCTGTGTTAAGGGTTCTAGAATATACTGTTTTGCTTGGGAAAATAGGACAAGCTTAGAGTTGCCAGGTACTCGATGTTCCACCAAGAAATGTCCAGTGTTCCTCCAGTGAATTGCCAATTACCTTCTGCTCTGCATTAGGCGAACTCAACTAGATAATCAGGGAGATTTTTAGTACTAAATTGGGGAAGGCATCATGAGCTTCTCTTATGAAAAAGGAAGAAATTGCTTTACTTTGTATTATTTCCCCCAATACCTTATCCTGTTTCAACTCCTGCCCTTCCCAGTTCTATGTATTTTCTTGAAGACAGTACTCCTTTATTGTGAGGTGATGTTCCATAAAGAGGTGGGAAGCTTTATATTTTTTTACTATGGTTTCTCATAGTAAAGTAAGCTGGGATTCATTATTTGATCTCAGAATACCAAAATCAAAAGAAAAGACAGGCACGAATGTAAAATAAAACACAATGCAAAGAGAACAATTGTGGCAACTTTGTTCTAGTTTCTTCTACATACCATTTTATCTGTTGGATGCATTTTTAACTTGATTGTGTTGATGGTTCCTTCTCATTTGATGCAGATCCAAGTCTCCGCCACCACCAGAAGAGGAGCCTAGAGAAGAAGATGATGAGAATGCTGTGATTCTGGACACGTGTATGTATTAGTTCCTCATAGTATCGCATTTGTATAATGACCCAAGAAAATATAACTTCATGAAAGCCAGTGCAATGCGGTGGTTTGAGATTGCAGTTCAAATCCCCATTGAGCCTGGAAGCTTATTGTGTGACCATGAGCCAGTCTCTATCTCTTCACCCAGCCTCCTTCGCAAGGTATTTGTGGTCCCAAAATGGAGTAAATCAGAGAAAGGGCGTGTTAAAAATTTGAGAGAATGGTCTTGGGCACAAATAAAGATTGGTCTGTACAGTGGATTTCGTTTGTATTCCATGTTAGAGAAAGTATTAGCAGTCTGCCTTCTGATGACTCCATAACTTTACAGGATAGAAAGAGTAGATGAAAACTGTACTGTATTGTAGTTAAACTTAGGATCGGTTGTGTCAGAGCTTCCCTGTATGTAATTACAGTGAAAGTACTTGTTAGAAGGACCTTGTATGTGGGTTTTTTAATGATGTGAGAGGCCAAGAAAGAATCCAGTGAAGTGGAAACTTTGTCAAGAGAAGGATGCAGAGATTAGTCTCATTGTGTCCAGCAGCTAGTGGAGAGGAATAGTTACCTGGATTTTATTTAGTCACTGAGTTAATTTGGACATAATGACTTCACTGTCTATTAACCAGTGGTTTTAAGGTTTATGGAAGTCAGTCACAGAATCCCTTCTGGTGTCTCACATACTCCCCCCCCTTTTTTTTTTACTGGGTACAGCTCATCTATGTCCAAATTTTACTTCTGGGGCTGTTTTATAGCATTAGGGAAAAAATTTCTGCAGTTCCTGATTTTAAATACTAATTGTTTTAATCTCTCTCACAGATACATCTGATCTCCACTTCAGAGCCACCAAGGACCGTTATGGAGGGCAGCCATTGTTCTCTGAGAAATTCCCCAACCTTTGGTCAGGGGCGAGAAGCACACATGGAGTGACAAAGGGGAAAGTCTGCTTTGAGGCAAAGGTGAGGACGCTTGCTCTATGAAATGTGCAATACACATTGAAATAGGCTTTTAACTAACATTTTTTCAGCAAATGCTTCTGTGAGTCAGGGCACCCTTCATCAGATATGTAAAGTATTGTCTTTAGTTGTAGATATATGCACAGTCTTGACATATTACATGAGTACAAACAAAGGGGTGGGAAGAGGTTGCTGCAAAATGAAGCTAGGAGGCCAGACAGTCTATGAGTATGTAAGGTATGTTATGTAATTACACAGAGCTCATGAAGGCAAGATCTGGTCAAAAGGAAAATGATTCCCTCAGAGTGCATGCAGACCACTCTTGACCATCAGTGAATCTGCAAATAAGTCAATAATTGAACAGTGAAGAGGGACTTAACTTTGTCCCTCTTTAGTAATGCGGTAGCTCCTCCTAAAATTGACATGAGCTAGAATGCCATATGCAGATTTGATGTAACCCCACAGGTTGTTTTCCTCTTTGCAAGTTTTGCTGGAATGTGTCAGCTTTTAGATTTGTTATTGAGTAGTACAGGGAGACTAAAATTCTCACTGCCTGGTTTCTGAGTGTTTTCAGACTTTCAGTAGACAGCATGCAACCATTTATTCTCCTGTGCAGAGACAACTGGTTTGACCAGTGTAAATGGTAAAGGGGCATTGCTGGTGCATGAGTTCTTGAAATTTTCAGCAGAAAGTGTGGTCTGAGTCAGTTTGAAACACAGTGCATTCTTCTGGGCAAACTATGTTTTGGGGGTGTTCATGGAAGAGAGCCCTTTAACGTGAATGGGAGAATCTAGCACTGTGGCTTCCTTCTGGATCTCTGTGTGTGTGTGGACCTTGGTGTATATATATGTGTGGGCATTTTTAAGGAAACATAGTAGGTTTATAAGCTGATATTTCATTTTTCCTTTGAGTCTGTGTATGTGCTGCTTTGTGGTTCATTTTATTTTTATTAGCATCTTGCCTTCCTGCACTTAACGAAAGTGGCTTAAATGGAGTTCTCAAGCAGTTTCTCACACAGGTTTCTGACAAAACTTGTTTGGTTTCAGCAAGGTCACTGTGTTGTATGCTGACAGTCCCTGTATTGGGCAGTGTTGTGGGTTTTCTGTGAATTTGTTTCCATTGAAACTTAAGAACAATATCAGTACAATTTAAATTTAGCCCAAAAAGGGCAAATATCACCATGTACAGGCCTAAACATGAAGAAGTAGTGGGGTTTGTCCATATCCCACATTTAGCCCAGCTAACATGACTGATCTACAGCACAACAGTCCGGACAACTATAGGTAGACTATATTTGCATATGTGTGACAGAAACTTTTCAAAAAAATATATATGGCTTCAGAATATTTTATGGAAGATGTTCCACCCCACAGCATCAGTGTTGGAGTCTGTTTCATTTATTCCCTGACAGTCCCGGGTTGCGAACCTCCAGGTGGGGCCTGGAGATATGGTATTACAACTGATTTTGAGATGAGAGGGTTCTGTGCCCCTGGAGAAAATGGCTGCTTTGAAGGGTGGACTGTATGGCACTGTAGCATTGCTGAGTTCCCTCCCCACCCCAAGCACTGCCCTCCTCAAGCTCCACCCCTGGATCTCCAGGTATTTTCCAACCCAGAGTTGGCAACCCTACCTGACACAGATGTTCAGAGAAATGTTTAAACAACTACAATGTACACGAGCAAGATACAATTAATAAAACCCACACAAAAGTATATCCTGTTTAAGTGCTAACAGCCAGTGGCTGACTCACTCTGTGGCAGGCCAAGAGTCCTTTGGACTGTGCCAAAAGTCTTAGGTATCTGGCCATGCCCGGTGTTATACCTACAAACTGGTAGGAGGCACAAGCACAGTTGTGCACTTGGCAGGGTATTCCTCAACATTTCCCCTTTCTGTGGATTTGTGCTGTAGAATTGTCACACAAAACTCATCTATTACAATGTCATTTCAATGGTTTTATAAAAGTCAGAACAATTTATTATTATGCATCATTCACAATACATTGGGTGAAACTGACAAACTGTGGTTGTCATGCCTATTCTAGAACTGCTTTGAAGAAAATGTATCATATAATAGTAAATCAGTTTAATGTGATTAAAACTCCAAAGCTGAATTTGGTAGCCATATAATAAGGGATTGTCCAGATCTAGAGATATGAGAGCACATCTTTTGTTTACTACAAAATTGTTTTCTGCCTTCAACTTATTACCTCTCAGGTGGCAAAAATTAAAGATATATAGACTACAGTAGCATAGGGCAGCAATTTGCTACTCTTTCTCAAGTATTAAATTCTTCCTCATACAAGATGCAGGTATTAACACTGAAAAATTCATAAATATGTCAAATCGTACAATTTTATATGCTAAATTACAGACGATGCATTTTATGTTGTCAGTAAAAGAAGCTTAAAGTTTGATAGGAAAGTATTGCTTATGTTTCAGTTTTTCCCAACATTTCTGTTCAAAGGCTGGCTGTTTTCCCCCAGGGCTTCAGAATTTCTGGAAACCTTAAATCTCTATACAGGTCTGGACCCTACTGATGTTGTTCTAATTGGAAGCTAATGTTTCCCTGCTATCCCTTTCTGCCAGTAGCCTCCTGTGACACTCCTCTCCCTGAAGGGTATTGGGTGACTCTTCAGTGACAAAAAAAATGTGGCTTGTAGTGGTGATGTGAGGGGAGCAGTTGGGCAAGATGCTCCTAATGGTGAAATGTCAGTAGGATCCAATCCATAGTGTTCTGGCAATGTCACAACAAAATAATACTTTAGATTTAACAGTGTCATTATCACAGACCCTTAAAGAAATTGACAAGCAGATATGAAACCCTCTATTCCCAGGGCTAGTTCACTGGACAAATGGCTTTTGGGGTAGTACGTATAGCCCTCTGATTTGATGCCTTCAGTAGGTCTGGGGAGAGAAAGTAAGGGTTGGAATTGCTCCTCCCCCCACCCACCCCTGCCAGGGGAAAGGGGTTATAGGCTTGTCCTTTAAGTCAACTTGTGTGGGGATGCTGGAGACCTGCAGTTCGTGAGTGGTGAGATGGAGGGAATCTGTGTGTGCAGGGGTACTTCCAGGGCTTAATACTGGAGTTGAAAATAAACTCCTTGGCTATATCCGGGCAAGTTCCTAGTACTAATTAATTAGATGGGTCTGTTGTTGGTCTGTTGTATCAAAACCATCAAGTAATCTTGTGCCACCTTAAAGACTTAGCAGGTTTATTGTAGCGCAGCCAATCATGGCTAGAATCTGTTTTCATTGGATGCCTGAAATGAATCCTCAGTCAGCAGTTAAAAACTACAGATTGCTAGAGCTTGAACATTTATGAACAGTGCGACCATGAAATTCAGCAAAACTGAAATTATAAGATAAGCATGGTGAACATTCACAACAACTAAGTTTACACTCTGGTTAATAAAACTAAATCTACTGTTTGATTTCAGATTCAGTAACTCTTTATGCAACAATAAATCTGAAGTCTTTTTGGTGCCACGTTTTTGTTTATAAGGGAAGGAAAGCAGTTGCCATACCCATTAAAATGCCCTTGTAATGAATGAACATACTTATTTCAGTGTAGATGGGAGCTGGTAGATGTTGGGGGTGGGAGTTTTCAAAGGTGGCCGGTGATACGTAAGAGTGGTCGCTGATTAGCTAACCTCCATCCCATCCCGCCGTCGAAGTGGAGCCCAGCCCCTTGGTTTACTGCGGAGCTGGGTGACATGAAGAGGGCCGGGAGACGTCTAGAGCGGCGTTGGCGGAAAACTAAGAGCGAAGCCGACAGAGCGTGCTATAGAGCTCATTGGAAGACCTATGAGGCGGCGCTGACAGCGGCAAAGAAAGCCTACTTCTCTGCTACCAATGAATCAACTAGTTCGCGACCAGCTCAGTTGTCGAAGGTATTTAGGCCCTTGCTGACTCTTAAATCTGTGCCATTAAACTCAGGAACAGGTGATAAATTGTGACACTTTTGCAAGGTTTTTTTTTGCTGATAAATATCTCTCAGATTGGATGCTGGTTGTGATAAAGTCCAGACAGAAAAAAATGTGCATTGTCTGGCCCATTTCTAGATCATTTTTACCCAGATACCTTGATGGATGTTGACAGTATCTTGGGATCTGTGCGAGGTAACACTTGTGCTTTGGATCCTAGCCCATCCTGGTTGCTAAAATCATGTAAGGACCACATTAATGAGTCCTTGACTTCCGTCATAAATCAAAGACTGACTTGGAGTGGTATCATGACCAATTATCTCCTGGTCTTTAATCTGCCCTTTCTGGGAAAGGTGATTCAGAGGGTGGTTGTGGATCAACTTCAGGTCTTCCTGGATGACTCCTCTGCTCTGGACCCTTTTCAGTATGGTTTCAGGCCAGCCTATGCAATTGAGGTGGCATGATGGCTTTAGTTGATGATCTCTTTCTAAATCTAGACAAGGGCCATGCCTCTTTGTTGATCCCACTGGATTCATCAGCCACCTTTGAGATGGTGGCCCATACCAGATTGTTGAGACTTTGGAGAGAAGGAGGTATCAGGTGCTTTGGATTGGTGTAAATGGTCCATTGTTGATTGGACTGAGAGGGTTACTTTTGGAGGCCATCGGTGTGGGATCTGTCCTGTGGGGTTCCACAAGGAACCGTCCTATGCCCCATGCTGCTATTCTGTCTCTATGTAAAGCCCTTAGGAGAAATCACTTGTGGTTTTATAGTTGGCTGTCATCACAATGCTGATGATATCCAACTCTATATTTCTAAATACAAATCCCCTGGTATTGATGTAGAGGTCCTGAACCTGTGCCTTACTTTTGTGGGTTAAATGGCTAAATGTGAACAAGTTGAAACTGAATTCTCATAAGAGTTAATGCTTGTTGCAAAGGTCTTGAAGGACATTGTACTTCTCTCTTTTGATGGGGGTCCAACTGACCCTCACTGACTCAGTTAAGAGCCTAGGGTTTATATTGGATCCAGCATTATTGCTGGAGAAGTGAGTTAATGCAGCTGCAAAAATACATTCTTGCAGCTTTATTTAGCCCGGAAGATGGCTGCCATGACATGGAATGGATCCACATGGCCAAGTCAGCCATGGTTACCTTGAGGCTAGACTACTGTAATGCACTCTGTGTGGGTCTATCCTTGAAGTCAACTCAAAGACTTCAGTTGGTACAGAATGCCATGGCCCAGTTACTATCAGGCACTAGGCAGAACATTCAAGTCATGTCCATTCTGCAGTCATTCCTTTGGTTACCAGTCAGCTACCAGGTTCAGACCAAAATTTTGGTCATCAGAAAGCCCTTAATTGCCTTGGGCCCATGTACTACCTCTTCTGTTTTGCTCTGCTGCGGCAGCTTTGCTCATCTGAGCAAAGTTCTCTGGAGGTGCCACCCTGCAATTGGGTAACATTGGCAACTGCCTGTTCATGCTTGTTCTCTGTGGTGGCTTCCACCTTGTGGAACAGCCTACCCGAGAAGGTCACTTAGCAGAATATGCAAAACAGAAATATTCAGGAGGGTCTTTTTATAAAGGGTGTTAGAACATGTGGTATAAGGGATTGCTTTTATAAGGGAATAAAATTGAAGTTAATTCTGTGTATCATCTTGCTTTTACTGCATTGTCTTTTACCTTTGTAACCCACTTTCTGCATTATGGTATATTGTGCTTTAGAGTTATTTTCCCCCATTGTTTTTCCAGTTCTGTAATGCTAGTCCTACTAGATTGTCTACTGGATATCTTATGCTGTCTGAATGTTTTAAAGTGTTTTGTACTCTCTGCCTTGAATTTCAGCAAGGAAGGTGGGCTATAGATGGAAGTTAGTAAATATTATGTATTTAATATTAGATACAAACTATTCCAGGAAGCTGTAGGTTAATTTCCATGAATCTGTGCTGAGCTGACCAAGAAGTAACAGCTCACGGTGGCAAGTTTGTTCCTTGCTTGGGGTGGTAGTATGCCTTGAGCTGGCCCTTCCCATCTTTCATATTTGAAGTGGAAGGCAAACCTCATTTAGGAAGGTGATGCATAAAGATTATTAAGACATCCAGTTGGCAATGTCATTTTCCATATTGTGTGTGTTTGCAGAACTCCACGGAACTTTTGAAATCGAACATTGCCAAATCTATTCCAAGATGCTGCACCCGTCAGGTTTATCTTCCCTGCCCATCCATTAACTCCTTCCTGGCCATTTTATGGAAATGTCACCATTGTCTAACTAGTGCACATTCCAAGCTTTCTGTGGCTGTGCATGAGTTTTAGCGTATCTGTAAAAGGCAATATAGATCCTGTACGTATGTATAGACATTTGTTTGCTAAGGACCTGAGGTTAAGACCTGCACCCCAGTTTCCTGCTATTACTGTAAAATAACCATGGTGCTGCCACTGTGGCAACTGCTTGAGGGGGTCGTCGCTCACATCTGGAGAGCTTCCAGCAGAAGAACTGTAACAAATTTAGTGTTCACATCTGCAGACAGAATTCAGCAGTGACTGCGAGGAGGACATTCCCTCCTGGCATAGCCTTAACTGCTTTTGATGAAGGGAAGGGGCATTGTGAGGACCTGTTCATGAAGAGGAATGTTTGGGTTTATATTTAGAGATAATTAATTGCATCAAAGCAAAAGCTGGGGGTGGAACGGCCATCACTCCTAGGCCTGTTTTTCAGCATTTTACCAGATGCATCAGGTGGCTGCTCTTCCTTGATCTGTCTTAGGTGGCACAAAACCTCCCACTGAAGGAAGGCTGCACAGAGACCTCACTGCTTCGCATTGGATGGTCTGTTGATCGGTCTCGTACACAGCTAGGTAAATAAAAAGCATCCTTCAAGGTGGCATCACAGCTCTGCTAAGATGTCACAGTCATGCAGATTGTGTTACTTGCAGCTGTAGTAAGTGTTTGCTCTCTTCTAGGTGAGGATGAGTTTTCTTATGGCTACGATGGACGAGGGTTGAAGGCTGAAAACGGGCAGTTCGAAGAATATGGTCAGCCCTTTGGGGAGAATGATGTGATCAGTTGCTTTGCTGTAAGTGCAGTTAAGAAGCCTTGAGTCGGCTCTTGAGGGGCTTCCTTGCCATCTTCGAAGTAGGCTGGGTTTGGGGAAATACACTCAAGTACAACGAAAGTGTAACTCATAATTCTAAGAACACCTGCTCTTTTCCTTGGTGTGGTACCATTCAGGGTACTACTCTACATTAAGTATGCCATCATGGAGGTTTGCCTTGATGCTCCTTACGAGAGTGTCCCCGTAACTGACTGTATTGCCAACCCTGGCTGCAAAAGGGACAGCTTCTTGTGTTCCAGGGCTATTAGAACGTCACTGAGAGCATGTCACTGTGACAGCTGTGTCTAGCTGCTGCTGGAGGGTTCATTGCTCACATGCTTCTGTGTCTCATGTTGTAGAACTTCGAAAGTGAAGAGGTGGAGCTCTCCTTCTCCAAGAACGGGGAGGACCTGGGTGTAGCCTTCCGGATCAGCAAGGAGTCTCTGGGTGACAAAGCTTTGCTGCCGCATGTGCTGTGCAAGAACTGCTCTGTGGAGCTGAACTTTGGCCAGAAGGAAGAGCCGTTCTTCCCAGTTCCCGAGGACTATGTGTTCATTCATGCTGTCCCCGTCGAGGATCGTGTGCGCACTCCTCCTCCACCCAAGACCACTGAGGAATGTGAGGTAACGTAGGCTTCTCTGTTCTGTTCACAAGAGGACCACTTGTTCTTCTGTATGAGTTATCTAGGCTGTGCACTGCTTATCCAGAGCTATCACTTTCCCCTCTACCCTTCCTCCTTGGGGGATAGCCTTTGCTACTGGGTTGTATCTTTATCCTCCAGGCAAGGCAGATGAAATCTGACAGGACTTATTAAGAGTTGGATGGTTACAATTGGTGGGCTTTTTAATAGTGTTTTTAAAAAAGTGAATGAAGGATTCCTCCTTTTCCCATAACAGAGCCCCAAAGTGACTTAAATTGTTCTCTTTTCGTCTGTTTTATCTTCACAACAGCCCTGTGAGTGAGGTTAGACTGGCAAATAATCTGAAGAAGTGAGCAGTGACTCACAAAAGCTCATATTTAGTCTTTAAGGTGCCTACTAGACTCCTGCTCTTTTCTACTGCTACAGACAGATTAACTTGGCTACCCATCTTGATCTGACAAATAATCAGTTGGCCCAAGGGGAGCTTCACAGCTGAGCAGGTGTGGAACTCAGGTTGCCCCTGTCCAAGTAAAGGTAAAGGTTCCCTTGCTCGAAAGCCAGTCGAATCCAACTCTAGGGTTGCAGTGCTCATCTCCATTTCAAAGCTGAAGAGCCAGCGCTGTCCGAAGACGTTTCCGTGGTCAAGTGGCCGGCATGACTAAACACCAAGGCGCACGAAACGCTGTTACCTTCCCACCGAAGTGGTACCTATTTATCTACTTGCAATTTCTTGCTTTCGAACTGCTAGGTTGGCAGGAGCTGGAACTAGAGACGGGAGCTCACTCCGTCTTGCGGCACCCGGGTCTCGCACTGCTGAACTACTGACCTTCCACAGCCTGCAGTTCAACGTTTTAACCACTTGAGCCCCTGTCCTAGTGCAGTGCTAATTCCCTATCATGAGGGATAGGTGAAAAGAATGATATCATCTTCCTGCGTAATGGTTAGAATAATGTTTGTGGTCTCTGTCTGAGTTCAGGCTAAACTGAAGCTTCACAGTGACAGTGTGGTCTTAATGGAGTTGTGACAGCTGCCACAGTTTTTCGGTAGTACACGCCTCACATCACTGCTTTTTAAGTTTTGTTCTGAATCTGTGGGCTTTCTCTCACCCATTCCAGGTGCTGTTGATGGTTGGCCTGCCAGGGTGTGGGAAAACCCAGTGGGCACAGAAGCACACCGAGGAGAATCCCGACAAACGCTACAACATCTTGGGGACGGATGCTGTTCTTTTCCAAATGAGAGTAAGCAGCCAGAGATTATGTTCAAGTGAGGAGGCTTCCTCAACTAGGCTGGATGCACCGTGCAGCAGAAATGTTGGTTTTTTCACTGGTTGCTGTCAGCTTCGTTTTTCTGTGTTAGCAACAGCGGAAAGATAGGGGTTTTTCATATCAATCACGTATCAACAAATTGTGAACAGAATTACTCAGGTTTGAAGAAATGCTAAATATTTCTAGAGTACATAGAAGAGTAAACTAATGCTGTAGATGGCTTTACATAAAAATCTTTATAGTTCATATTTTGAATAAAAAGAAAACTTAAACTCATTCCGATGGCAAAAATATTTCCCAAACCTTCCAGTTTTTCTAATTGGGAAGGAAATGTGTCTATCCCCCAAAACGTGATGCTTTTCTTCTGGGCTTTCATGTTGAAATAAAGCTAATCACATGTTGGGTGCAAGTCTCCGGTTTCCTTGATTAACTCCTCCTCTCCATATTTTTTCCCATGTTAGACAAGGGGGCCTGAAGTTGAAGAACTGGACACCAAAAGTCAAGATCAGCTAACTCAACAAGCTGCCCGTTGCGTTAGCAAGCTGGTCCAGATTGCCCCCAGGACAAAAAGGAACTTCATTCTTGATCAGGTACTTTATTTATAGTCTAGTTGCATGTCCGAGGAATCACAGGCAGCCAGCTAGTCCTGGCTTAACAGATGTTTGGATGCAGAATCCATCTCTGCTAAAGAGATTATGTGTATGCCTTGACTAATGGGAGGGGCTGCGGCTCAGTGGTAGTGTCTGTTTGGCATACAGAAGGTCCCAAATTCAATCCCCGGCATCTCCAGTTGAAAGTATCTGGTAGCAGGTGATGTGAAAGACCTCTACCTGAGACCTTCGAGAGTTGCAGCCAGTTTGAGTAGATAGCACTGACCTTGCTGGACCAATGGTCTGATTCAGTATAAGGCAGCTTCATGTGTTTATGTGACTAACTATCACTACTTGCCCATTCAGTTCTCTTACCTGCTCCAAAAACCCTCTCTGGGTTGCCTGCATTGCACCTTCATTGCAGGACAACTAGGCATGCTCTAGTTGTAATTTCAGAGATTAGCTGATGGAACTATTTTTGTGACTGCTCAGATCTTCAAGGTGGCTACAAAAATAATAAAAAAATGTGAAAAAAATGTACTAGAAAGGCTTACCAGTCTATCTATAAACACTACAGCTGAGTATTACCTTTTTAAAGAGATTGCTGGGACAAGGAAGGTGTTGACTGCTTCATGAACCTGCAGGGAAGGTAATATTAGGTCTCCCTTGGGAGAAAGAAAGATTTCAGTTTTGAAGGAGAAGAATAGGTTAGTGTGTTTGTGTTTAGAACCTAAACGAGATTGATGCTGCTGAGCTATGTACCTCTCCAGGTATTTAAACACTGGGAGAGGAACAGGATAGAGTTATAATCTGCATGAGAAATGACAAACTTGATAAGAATTGTTTTTTAGTTGCCAGGTAGGCGGGAAGACATTCCTTATCACCACATAGTGGGCCTTTCATGTTGGTAAAGCTGAAGCTTTTTATGGGATTTGAATGTGTAATCAGAGACCTCAGAACTAGTTGAGAGCAATGCTCCGTCTAAGCTGTGGAGTCTTGTGAGCAAAAATTCTACTTTGTGACTTACTGGCATTAAAGTTGTGAGCAAGCAATTTGGCTACTGCATAAATTAGTTTGCTCTGGAGCTATCCTTCCTGAGCTAAGACAAAAATGTGTGAGCTGGAGGCTAAAAAACTGTGAGCTAGCTCACATGAACTCAGCTTAGAGGGGACACTGGTGCCAGCTCCTGCTGATGCTCTGAGGTCTTGCAGCCTAGACCTGAGGGCACTGCTCCTGAGGAGACTGGACTGGGCTGGGCTGTCTTAACGGGAACACTGGTTGAGAGCTAAAGAAAACTTCCGAAAAGGACAGATTCCTAAGAGGTTAGAGCAAAGTTCCTTTAAGAGGTTAATACTGTTAGTACAAGAAGGATGAGTAGAGAGTAGAAGAAGAAGAAGAGGAGTCTCAGTGCGGCTTGCAAACTCCTTTCCCTTCCCATCCCGACAACAGACACCCTGTGAGGTAGGTGGGGCTGAAACAGGGTTGTAAAATTGTAACTGGTGTGAAAAAAGAAATTAATTTCATTGTACTACAGCTTGTAGTCAGCCAGTGAAATTGACTAGAAGTTGAAAGAGAGCTCTGTCATGCTCACTGTTTAATTAACATGTGAGAGTATAGCAAGATGTGATGTCTAAAAAGATCAGACAGATTACTATTGCTATCAGTTGTATTAGCTAAAAAGTACGAGGTCCATTCTTGCAGCCAGTGGATCAGTTTCTGCTGAGCCATTCCACTAACAGTGGCACTCCCCTCCCTCTGCCTGTGAAAGGGACCTTCCTGTGATTCCTGCACTGAGGAAAGTGCTACTAATAGTGGAACAGATCGGTGAGATCCAACCTCAAGTACTTGGGCACTAATGGAAAGTGCACTGTGTTTATCAGCTTGGCAGCCTTCTAGCTGGGTGCTGTTGGAGACAGAATGCTGGACTAGAAAGACCTCTGGTCTGATCTTGCAAGGTACTTAGGACCATAGCAGCCCTCTGTAAGCCAACAGTTAAAATTTCACATTTCTACCAAATTCCAGGTCAAAACTAGCTTGAGTAGAATTACTTTCCTGACCTCATTAGCTGGGTGAAATGGCGTAACTGGTAGAATCCAAATTATTCTGATTATGGCTTTATGGCGGGGTATGATCTCTGTAACTACAGGAGGTTTTTTTATGGCCTTTGGTGGGAGATGGGGGTGTTTGCATTTCTAATGTGCGTCTCTTCCTCTCATCAGTGTAATGTGTACAATTCTGGCCAACGGAGGAAGCTGCTGAACTTCAAGGGGTTCTCGCGCAAGGTGATTTTAATTGTCCCCAACGAAGAGGACTGGAAGCAGAGGCTGGAACTGAGGAAGGAGACTGAGAAGGATGACGTGCCTGAGTCGGTGATGCTGGAAATGAAAGGTAGGCTCAGCAGAGGGTTTGAGAGAAACACGAGTGGGCAGGCAAGTGGGGCGAGAGGTTTCTTTCCCCACTGAAGCAGCAGGACAAACCCATTCACCCTTGCATCTATTTCCTGCTGTTTTTTCCTGATCACAGCCAACTTCTCTCTTCCGGAGAAGTGTGACTACATCGATGAAGTCCTGTACCAAGAGCTTGCAAAGGAAGAGGCTCAGCCCCTGGTCACCAAATACAAGGAGGAGGCCAGGAAACTGCTTCCGCCCTCCGAGAAGCGGACGAACAGGCGCAACAACCGTAACAAACGCAACCGTCAGAACCGCAACCGTGGCCAGGGATATGGTGAGTCTTTTGCAAAGTAGTGAGGGCTGCAGGTCTGGAGGTTCTCTGAAAAGGCTGTCCTCGTGCACTGAGGACATGCCCCTAAAGGAGGTCTGGGGACTCTGCATGAAGGCAGGACTTCCCAGGTGGCACCCCTGTTGTACTCAGCTCATTCTTCGCCTCCTTGCCTTCCGGATATACTCTTCTCCACTGAAGCTTAATTGTCTCCAGGGATCTCTAGTGTGCTTAGAACACCTGGCCGTGCCAGTCCAGTTGTTTTTGCTTGTATTTCAACTTCTTAGATCCGTTAAGCCACATGGTTCACCTTCTGAGAGCCAGTTTGGTGTAGTGGTTAAGTGCGCGAACTCTAATCTGGGAGAACCGGGTTTGATTCCCCATTCCTCCACTTGCACCTGCTGATGTGACCTTGGGTCAGTCACAAGCTCTGGCACAGCTGTCCTTTGTGTCAGAGTTCTCTCAGCCCCACCCACCTCATAGGGTGTCTGTTGTGGGGAGGGGAAGGGAAAGGAGACTGTAAGCCGCTCTGAGACTCCAAGTGAAGGGCGGGGTATAAATCCAATCTCTTCTTCTTACAATTTCTTGCACTGTGGACTGAATGTAATACGTTAAGGTTGTATATCCTTTTATTGTAAGTTGCCCATAACCAATACTGAAAAGCAGAGTAAGACTTTCTAAACAACAAGGAAAACAGATCCTTTGAGCTTGCCCAGCGGGGCCTCTCCTACTTGACTCCGTTTCACCCAGTATACATTCCCCTGCCTATCCTTGCTCATCCCAAGGCCCCTGTTTCACAGTCATCCACACTTTTGTGGCTCCTGTGTTTCCAGTCCCATTTTGGGGCCTGCTTTCCTTCCTGTATCGTTTCTCTGGGCCAGAGCTTGGTTGTTTCTGCTCCTGCAGTCTTAGGTGACAGGAGCCAAATGCAAGGGACTGTCGATTGGGTCTTGTTGCTACAAGCAGTTTTGGAAATGTTTTCCCAAAATTTCTTTTCCTCCTCTGGCCAGTAAAGAATTCTGTTTCTCTGAACTGCATATGCTGTTAGTCTTTTTGTGTGTGTCTATGTGTCTGCTTCCTGAGCCTCTGTACAGCTTTTTCCTATCTCCACACCACATTGTCGCACAGCACTCACTGGAGTAAATAGGTTTGTGCAGTGCTGCTGCTTAGCCTGTGTTTTGGGCACCTGCTGCTGCTTCATACTCAGTGATGAGGCCTCCTGTACTTTGCTTCTGCTTGGAAGCCCACGGCAGGCGTTGTTTCGGTGGCAGAGCAGGCAGTTCCCTTGTAGTGGATTTTGGAGAAAGCTGGAAATTAAACTGTCACTGAGAGCATTTTGTTTTTGTTTTTTTTCTTTTTGGCAGCTCAGCCCAGGCATCCAAGTAAGCAGCACCCCCCCGGGCTGCTGTGTGAGTAGTGTGCTGGGTCTGCGGGAATCGGGGTAGGGCAGGGAGGCGGGAAGGAGGGTTGTGCACCACAACGTCGCTTTGGGGTAGAGGATCGGGAGGAGCAGGGTGGGAGAAATTGGGCTGAGATCACGTTTGGGGAGAAATTAGCTCAGGCAGCACGGTCATCAGTCTGTACGTTGCCAGCCTTTCTAGGGAATCTCCCCCAGTGGAAGATTTAGGAAAAGAGCGTGGGTTTTGGCTGGCCAGCAAGTTGCAGAGACGCTTTCGCTGATATATCTGTCCGTGGCAACTGTTCTTTTGCATTAGCTGTTGTTTTGACAAAGGTGATGGACGGCAGCTCAGCTTTGGGGGGGCCCCCCCATTTTCAGTAACGTTTTCTATGCTGTGAACATACACTGACTGGGGAGACATCAGGTCAGCTAGCAGCTCAGCTGCAGCAGCAGTTCTTAATTTTGTAGTCAAGTTGACACTGCTTTTTCTCCCCCACCCCCTTTTCCAGTTGGTGGACAGCGCCGTGGTTACGACAATCGGGTTTATGGGCGGCAGCAGCAGCAGCAACAGTACTGGGGGCAGCCTGGGAACAGAGGTGGTGGTGTAAGTATTACCCCTTCAGCTTCTTGTTAGGCAGCGGTCAGTGCTGATGGATGGCTCCTTTTCCCTGCACTGATTATGAAAATGCTGTTGCTAATTTGTGCAGGTCTTGACTGCACGTGTCCTGAAAAGGGTCAAAAGCTTAAAAGCATTTTTTTAAAGAACATGAAAATTAATTACTGTGGTTTCAAGGGGTTTTTCCAGGGAGGGGGTGGAGCATCACTTTAACTCATTTGAAAAGTTGGGGGTATTAAAAACGAAGCTGGGATGCTGTATGGACTGTACATGGCCAAATGTGCTGCCATATCTTGTAGGGCTACCGCAACTTCTATGACAGATATAGGGGGGACTACAACCGGTTCTATGGACGTGATTATGACTACAACAGAGACTACTACAGGGACTACAATCGGGAGGTGAGAGGCTGCAGGCCACGCTCTTCTAAGATAGTTGCACACATTTTTGTTGAAACCATTCCTGTAGATAATTGCTGCTAGAATAGTATTTCTCTCCAGCCTTGCAAAGGAAGTGTTGATTCTCAGCCTTGTTCTTATTGAAAATGTTCTGTCTCATCATGAAGGTTCTTAAGGTGTCTTACAATATAAAGCAAAATAAATGAAATAACTGCAATCAGCATATAAAATGTTCATGGCAAAATACCAATAGGGCAGAAATTAGGAAGGAATAAAAGCAGCAACAGAAAATGAGTACATCAAAGCTAACCAAATTTGTCACTAAAGCTTGAAACTCCATAGGGTAGCCTCCAGGGAATTCCATGAAAAATCTCTGCCTGTAATGAGTGAACACGCTCCTGCTCTCTCTTCTTTCCTGGCTTCCCTCCCTTTCTGCTGCTTGGTTTGTTCTGTTATCATTCTTATTAAGCTGTGTATCAGCTTTGAGGCAGTAAGATTGTGACTTGCTTCTAAGAGCATGTTGACTGGGCAACGTATTTACACATGCTGGACAGGCTTGGCTGCAGAGTTGTAGCTGCCAGGGACAAGGGCAGAGGCAGCAAGAACAAAAGAAACTGGAGGAATCTGCTCCGCTCATGAACAGAAAGAGAAAGTGAACAGGAAACAGCACCCACATAGAATGACAATGGCTCTTGCTCAACCAAGCAGAATCAGCTGGGAATATGGTTGCCAGTCTCCAGGCCAGAGGTCAGTTCCCCTAGCGGAAATAGCAGCTTCAGAGGGTAGACTCTCTGGCTTCACATTGCTGCTGAGCACCCTCCCCAGGCTCCACCCCCAGACTCTAGGAATTTCCCAGCATGGAGTTGACAACCCGAGCTGAGGGGGAATGAAGTCAGAAAGCCTTCCGCATCTGCTGTAAAGCAGCCAAGAATCATCCCACTGCAGTTTTGTTCTGCCCGCCCTTGATCCAGCCACATAGTGCAGTATTTGTGCAGACCTCCCAAGTTTAGGTGCTGTCCAGCTAGCAGCACCTGTATCTGCTTTAAAGCCCAGTCCCATTTTCTGCATAATCAGATTAGCCTGTCATGGCATTCATGAGAACATCAGAGGCCTTTTAGTCCCCCCCCCCCCCGTCCCCCTGTAGGTTAGGTTAAGTGACCAAAGTTGGGAAGATGACAGCCTTTTTGGTGGTGGCACTTCATTTTTGGAATTCCTTTTCTGGAGATATACAAACAGTGCCTAGCTTGCTTGGAGGTGCTGGGCTAAAAAATTCAGGCATTTGGAAGATATTTTAGTATCATGTTGCTTTTTCTTTCTTTTTACTGATCCTTGACCTTTTGGTATTTTTTAGTTGTGATTTACATCAACATTTCTCCAACTGTATCTAGTGAAGGGAACGTTGACTCTATCAAAAGCTTATACCCTGAAAATCTTGTTAGTCTCTAAGGTGCCCCTTGACTCTGATTAACATGAAAACTGAGCCATTTCAGTTTTCTAGTAATAAGGGCAGGACTGTCCCCCTCGGGATGAGGGTCTTTTTTCTTCGAGGAGTTTTCAAAGTCTTTCCAAGTTCATTCCTACCCCTGTTCTGCTGGCCTCAGTCTAGAAGCTGTTAACCTGTAAAGAACTTTCCTGCTGTCTGTTACAGAGTCCCTTCATATCAAGTGATGAGACCAATTAAATGTTGAGTCTTGGCCTTTTGAGTTGTGTCCCTATAGAGAATCAGCTACCCTCTAGGATCTGACCTTGTTGGCCATGTATAGGCAATATCATATTTTTAAAAGCAAGTTTCAGGGGCTCACTGCATTTTTCCAGAGTTGTAAGAGGATGGAAGCCTTCATGATGTAGGCATAACTTACTGCTGGTACTTTAAAAAAGGAGGGTGGAGGTGTAGTATGTGCTGCCAGTGAGGAAGGAGGAGAGGGCTTTGGAGTCCACAAAAAATGTTTAAAACAAAACATGGGGGTCCTCAGCTTGCTAAAGTTGGGGAACCAAGGATTTATGTTTTAATTGCTTACAGTTTTGTATTTGCCACTTTTTAATGCTTTTTAGCTGAGAGTTGGATGGAAATCCCTTAAAATAATGACTGCTTCCATTGTCTTCCCTTTTAGTGGCAGAACTACTACCAAGACAGAGACCGATATTACAGGAACTACTACGGCTACCAGGGGTACCGGTGAAACCCCGGCCATCTTCACCCTTCAGCCGAGCGACGAGATTCTACTGAGGGGAAGTGTCTTGTAATTTCCCAAGATGCAACCAATGGAAACAGGGCTGTTGGGAGAGAGGCAGCAGGGGTTAAAGGGGGGTGGGGGTGGGAAGGTTTAAACAAAAATTGTAAATTTTTTTAAAAGTTTGTTGAAAGAATATTGTCTTATTCTATAAAAAAAGAAAAAAACATTTCAAACCTAGTTTAGACATTTGTAATCAGAACGTTTGCGCGAAAAGGAAAGCAGCACTTAGTGCTGTCTGCGATTGGACAGGAAAACATTACATTATAGAGCAGCTGGACTGGCAGCCAGGCAGGGGGCGGGAGACACAGAGCTCCCGAGAGACGCTCATTGAGGGGGTGTAGATGAGGGAATGCTGGGGGAAGGTGGCCCATGCAGATTGGGGTGGGTGGGGATGTACATTTTGAGTTTTCCAGAAACAAACATATTTAGGGTTCTTGCTCGCCACTCCATGTTTTGGCGGGTTGACAGTGGCGTGAGTCCTCTTCATGCCAGGGGAACAGGGAAACGTTTTCCATCTTGGAGACACGGAGAAGGAGGCCATGGTGCTCCCTTTTCCTCTCCCTCAGTGTTCGGCCTGCGTTTTCAGACAGTGAATTGCTGGGAGGCCTGTTGGGCATTGTGTGTCCCAGGCCAGAGGCTTCTCTTGAGCATCTCCCTACTCCCCCAGGAATCTTCCTTAACCCTCTTTTGAGTGTGATACTGTGATCCATCTCGCAGAAGGATGTGTAGGAATTTGGGTTGTAAAGTTTCCTGCCTTGTTTTCCATGGCCAAAGCAGGCTGCCTTGGGTGCTCTCTCCCCCGCCCCCCTGCACACACACATACCCCTTCCTCCCAAAGCTTAGCTGACCCCTTTCTCTCTGTGTAGCATCTGTGCTCTTGTTTGTGGAGTGGAAGGAACATTTTTTTCTCAGGGTTTCTGCAGGATCTTCTCATTGTTAGCACCTAAACATGTATATAGGCGTGCAAGCATGTAACTGTCACCTTTTGAGGAGCTTAGCGCTGAGAATAGCAACAATTTTATACAGTTAGTGCAAGGGGGAAGCGGGCTGGGGGGGGGAGAGGACACAATTCGCTCAATCCTCCTTGTGGTTTTGATAAACTTGGTAGGCTCTGTATATAGGGAACTAAGTAGGAAAAGGGGGCAGAAAGAAGGACTTATGTAGGGGAGGGGGGGGGAGTTGTATGTGTCCCTCACTTGAAAAAAAAATTAACTTTTCCAAAACCTGGCTGTTGGTGAAGTTCAGTTTTCAGAAGGTTTGAGGTGTGTCCTGTGGGCATCTAAAGGGTCTTTAAAAAAAATTATGGTGTGCCCAGTCCATAAAATGTCCTCTGGTGTTTCGTCTGATTACATGGAGGAAGAAAACTATCCCTTTGCAGCAGCCAAGTGTGGTTGGTTCAGTGACTGGTATCCTTTTCTTGGCTTTTTTCCCTTTGTTTTATGTGTAAATCTTTTTTCAGGCGGTAACAAAGGGAGAAGATGATTTTGTTCCTCATCCTGTAACTTAGGGATCTGATTATTAATTTTGCTTCCCTGTCAAGTCTTTCCACAGAACAAAAGGGATGGTGGGGGGCTTTCTATGGCAGGATACCCTTCCTCCTCAGATGTGAATTGTGTTAATATCCCCCCGTTTCTGGATCCCAGATGTCTGCAGCTTAGCTAATTGTGTCTGATTCTCCTGCCACAGGGACTGAAGATTTGCCTCCATTCCTTGTGATTCACTGTTTGAAATTCAAACTTTTTAAAAAAAATTCTTTTAAAAATTTGGGTTTTTTTAGAACACACTCATAAGCCTTTGTAAGTTGCTCTGTCTCCCTCCCCATAAGAGTGCTAATTTCCTGCATCCCAGCTGGACAAAAGAATGGGGGCCTGCCAGCTCCAGAAGGCATTTGATCCTTAGATAAGGGGGCGGAGGGAAGGGGAAGGGCAGCTGTCTCCCAGCTCTCTCGCCCTTTTTTCCAAAACATAGGAGCTAGAGAGAAGCAGGATTCTTCTATCTCCATGCATGTGTGTATTCAAGAATGTTTGATTGTGTGACAACTGTTTTTATAACAAAGTTAAACTGGTATTTTAAACGCTTCAGGCCATTAGAAAATATTCTTCTGGGGAAGAAGGGGGAGAGGGTGTGTGTGTGTGTGAGAGAGCGAGCGCAAGTATCTTCAGTAGCTGAACACTCGCGTGGGTGCGTGATGGCTTGATGCTATGAAACATTGATTTGGGGTGCGCTTTCCAGCATAACGGGGCTCCAGCAGCCTTGATGTGAGCAAGCAGGTCCTTTCAGGATCACAAGGCAAGGTGGAACAGGCACCGGGCCCAGACTAGCTTCAACATCTTTGGGAAGTTGCTGTCACAGTTAAATGAGAGCTTACAGTACTTTCTCTTGCGGGGGTGGGGGTGGGGGGGTGACTAAAAACTGCCGCATCCTAGACCAACAGAACAAGAGATCTTGGCGACTTTGGTAGATGTCTTCTTTTTTCTGCACATTTTTGTTTAAAAAGAAAACAAAAATTAAATAGTACAAAAATACAAAAAAAAAGGAAATCCAGCCTGTTTAAAATCTGTTAGTGTTTTTCATGATTGTATGTCTTAGTTGCTGTAGATGGAAAGCTCGAGCGAAACGGAGGCTGTAAATGTTTTTACAAACTGTAAAACGTTTAAGTGGCCAGTAAAAAGGGTTTTGCCATTGAACATGTAACTGTGTGGTTGTTTACATCTGTAACTTTCTTTCCTTAACAATTCTGGCATATGTAGGTTGATAAATCTTCCATTTTTAGAATAAATAACCATTCGCTTGACTCCACATCGTTCTGTTGCTGCACTGACTTCTTCGGTGTCGTTATGCTTTTTGCTCGTCTTTCCCCCCCACCCCCAATTAAAAAAACTGAAAAAGACCAAAGCCAACTGACCTTCCTTCTTCATTCAACTTAAAATTGGGGGTGGGGGCTTCTGCTTGGGTTTTTCCACAACCCTGTCCTCTATTTGAATAAGGCTGTAACAGGTTTCCATTCCTCTAAAGGCTCTTCTTCTGTGCAAGTAATCTCTTGTGCTTGAGGAAGGATCCATTTAACGAACAGAACAGATTTATACCCATAATCTCTGTATTTTGTAGATGCCCCAAATGTGAGGGAACTCAACCACTTTAGGGGTAGGATTCCTTCGCATTGCATCCCTGGGTGGAGGAGTGTGAGAGGAGATGCTGGCTGGGGTCTCTTCACAGCAGAGTAAGATATGGAAAATGTCACTAGTTAAAGTGATACCAGAAAATAGGACTACCAGGGTTGTTGGGTTAATAAAACTGAATACAGTATGACTATTCTGTGCAGTACACCTTATTTCTTAGTTGGGGTTCATTAGCTCCATCATGCTTTAAAATAGACCTGTTCTTCATGCATGTTTATGGAGCCCTCTAAGAAATGTATCTTGAGTCTGTAAAAAGTAAAGTATGTTGCCCTTTGAGGCCACAAATGAGAGACTTCACTCTTCAGTGTGATTATGCTTTCTAAAAATCAGACCTAATGTCTGGGGCTATTACACTGTATTAGAACTCCTCACTTTTAAAGGGTTAGCTTCTTCATGGCCTTGCTGTTGTTGGAACCAGAAAGCTGAAGGGGTGGCAAGGGAGAGGGGCAACTGTTAGTCTGTAGAACAAGATTTGAGTCCAGTGGCTCATTTAAGGAAAACAAGATTTTATGGGCATGCACACTTCAGATAGGGTTTGTGTCGGGCATTTGTAGTGAGGTTTTTTGGCCACCATTTTATACAGTAAAGTGCTCTTTTCCCTTTCTAAAGTATATACTTTCTGCTTGCACTTGATATAAAGTTTGGGAATTCCTGCAGATTTGGGGGGTGAAGCCTGTGGAGGGGAGGGACCTCAGTTGGGGTATAAGACCATATAGTCCACTCTCCAAAACTGCCCTTCTGTAGGGGAGAGCTCAAGATGGGTAGCCATGTTCGTCTATAGCAGTAGAAAAAGAGTCCAGAAAGAGTCCAGTAGCACCTTAAAGACTTAACAAAATATGTGACACGGTATGAGCTTTCCTGAGCAGCTATGTGAAGAAGTGAGCACTAGTGACTCACAAAAGCTGCCACATATTTTGTTAGCCTTTAAAGGTGCTACCGGACTCTTGCTCTTTTCTGTTTCTCTAGGGTTATTGATCTCTGTTCTGGAGATCAGTTGTAATCCTTGGCGATCTTCAGGCCCGGCCTGGTGGCTGGGTGACGCCAGCCTGAGGGGAGAAAAGCTCTGTAACTTTAAACCCGGCACAACAACCTCATCGTGAACTGCGTCCGCCGCGGCGGCGGCTGCTGCTGCTTTCACAGGCCTGAGGAGGCGTCCTGTTGAATGCCGGCGCCGAGGTCGGCCGGAGCGTGCCGTTTGGTTTCCCCGAGTCCCTCTTCAGTCTGTTCAGCGGCTGAGTGTGACCTTTCCGGCGCTGAAGCCGCATCGGGCGGCACCATGTTGCCTTCTCCGAGTGCCTGATAGGCGGGGAGCTGCCGCCATTTTGGATGCTGACACGGAAGTCGCCCAGGACGGCACCATGTTAGGGTCGGCTTTTCCCCTTTCCTCCGTCGCCGCTGCTGCACATGGCGGGAGCGAAGAGCGCGGGAAGCGGGGGCCTGTGGGGGCCGGCTGAGCGGCGGGGACGACGGCCCGGAGGAGAAGCGGCTGCGGATCGGGCCCGTCCCGCAGGCACCGTCGTGGCCCGGGCCCCCGGGGAACCGCGTGACTGTGGTGCTGGGGGCGCAGTGGGGGGACGAGGGCAAAGGGAAGGTGGTCGACCTGCTCAGCCTCGACGCGGATCTCGTCTGCCGGTGCCAGGTGAGTAGAGCAGAAGGGCGTCTCGGGGCGCTGGTCCTCATGGAGGAGGAGGAACAATCCTGGATCGTCGTTATGGGAAAGGGGAGCGAGAATTGGGGGATCAAGGTAATTGGAGGGGGCGGGCACGATGGAGAGAAATGATGTTTGGGTGGCAGGAGGTGA